TTCTTTAACTTGCTGGCAAGAATACTGTGGGAGACCGTATCAAAAGCTTTGCTAAAGTCAGGATATATCACATCCACTGCTTTCCCCATATCCACAGCGCCAGTTATTTCATCATAGAAGACAATCAAGTTGGTCAGGCATGACTTGCCCTTGGTGAATCCATGTTGACTGTTCCTGATCATAGAATCATAGAATATCAGGGTTGGAAGGGACCTTAGGAGGTCATCTAGTTCAACCCCCTGCTCAAAGCAGGACCAATCCCCAACTAAATCATCCCTGCCAGGGCTGATCATCCCAGCCAAGGCTGATCACCTTCCTCTCCTCCAAGTGCTTCAGAATGGTTTCCTTGAGGACCTGCCCCATGATTTTTCCAGGGACTAAGCTGAGACTGACCGGTCTGTAGTTCCCCAGATTCTCCTTTTTCCATAAGGACATAAGAATGGCCATACTGGGTCAGACCAAAGGTCCATCCAGCCCAGTATCCTGTTTACTGACAGTGGCCAATGCCAGGTGCCCCAGAGGGAGTGAACCTAACAGGTAATGATCAAGTGATCTCTCTCCTGCCATCCATCTCCTCCCTCTGACAAACAGAGGCTAGGGACATCATTCCTTACCCATCCTGGCTAATAGCCATTAATGGACTTAACCTCCATGAATTTATCCAGTTCTCTTTTAAACCCTGTTATAGTCCTAGCCTTCACAACCTCCTCAGGCGAGGAGTTCCACGGATTGACTGTGCACTGTGTGAAGAACAACTTCCTTTTATTTGTTTTAAACTTGCTGCCCATTAATTTCATTTGGTGGCCCCTAGTTCTTATATTATGGGAACAAGTAAATAACTTTTCCTTATTCACTTTCTCCACACCACTCATGATTTTATCGACCTCTGTCATATCCCCCCTTAGTCTCCTCTTTTTCAAGCTGAAAAGTCCTAGCCTCTTTAATCTCTCCTCGTATGGGACCCGTTCCAAACCTCTAATCATTTTAATTGCCCTTTTCTGAACCTTTTCTAATGCCAGTGTATCTTTTTTGAGACGAGGAAACCACATCTGTACGCAGTATTCAAGATGTGGGCGTACCATGGATTTATATAAGGGCAATAAGATATTCTCCGTCTTATTCTCTATCCCTTTTTTAACGATTCCTAACATCCTGTTTGTTTTTTTGACTGCCGCTGCACACTGCGCAGACGTCTTCGCAGAACTATCCATGATGATTCTAAGATCTTTTTCCTGATTAGTTGTAGCTAAATTATCCCCCATCATATTGTATCTATAGCTGGGTTTATTTTTTCCAATGTGCATTACTTTACATTTATCAACATTAAATTTCATTTGCAGTTTTGTTGCCCAATCACTTAGTTTTGTGAGATCTTTTTGAAGTTCTTCATAGTCTGCTTTGGTCTTAACTATCTTGAGCAGTTTAGTATCATCTGCAAACTTTGCCACCTCACTGTTTACCTCTTTCTCCAGATCATTTATGAATAAGTTGAATAGGATTGGTCCTAGGACTGACCCTTGGGGAACACCACTAGGTACCCCTCTCCATTCTGAAAATTTACCATTTATTCCTACCCTTTTTTAAAAGATGGGCATTATATTTGCCTTTTTCCAATCGTCCGGGACCTTCCCCTATGACCATTCTCTTCAGTGAGCTCTGGATTGCCCCCAGGGTGCATACGTACAACTGTTAACCACTGCTGTAATTTTCCCACTTGTAGTTTTATAAATATTTATGATAAATGTATTTTAAAGATTAAAAAATAATGTGGTGGAGAAGGAGTTGAATTTCACAGTAGCCACGGGATGCGCGAAACATACTTGCACAAACCTCCAGGCCAGTGTGGGACATGGTCCTCTAGGTTTACTGTTGACAAGCAATGTTTCTTGACACTGCATTTCTCCCTATCTCAGGAGGGAAGTGTAAGCAGGTTTCTAAAGTCAGCATAAATCCTATGATGTGTCTGTGTTTAGGGTTCACATCCTCTTCAGGCTGCAGCCACTAGGGGGCTGTCCTGCGCACAGGAACTGGTCCAACATTCTGTTGAGCAGAAAGCAATGGAGACTATGGTTGGTCAGAAAATGCAATTTTTCCCCCCCATTTTCAGTGAAAATTTTCTTCCAATTTTTTTGTTGAAAAAATGAAAACTGAAAACGTTTTTATTTTATTTTTAAAATGTTTATATATTTATTTACTTGTTTGGCATTGAGAGAGCAAACATGGACGTCTTTGGGTTTAAAACGGAAAACCTTCCGTTTTTGCTGGCCAAAACCTGGGAGGTGAAATTGGTTTGTGGGTTTTGGATGTTTTTGATGAAACCCCAAACATTTTCAGCAAAAATGGAACTTTTTTATCTTCACAAAAATTTCTGTTTTGTCAAAAAGCCATTTTCTGTCAAATGTAAAGTTTCCAATGAGCTTGAACAGTGACACATTGCAGGAAGGAAAAGAAAATGATGTTTTATTCATGAATAATATTATTGTTATAAAGTTTGTGTATGAAAGGAAGATGACATTAATTATTTGATCCAGGTGGGCTTCTAAGGCCTCCTCAGAGTCTCAAGGATAGCTTTATTATTTCGATAAAATATCAATAATAATAATTCAATAATAATAATAATTGTAAATACATTAATACAGTTGTTGCAATTGTGAATCTACATTTATCCAATGATTTCCTAGTACTTTACCAACATTTAATTGCTTCTGGGAGGCTGGTGTTTTGATCTCCAACTAGGGAAAGAGATACTGATGATTCATTTTTATTGTTAAGCATTATTTGTAGTATAGTGATGCTAGATGCTGTGCAAACACATTGTGAGAGTGATGAGTTTACAGTTTTAATAGCTAAGAAAGGAAAAGGGTGGGAGGGGAAACTGAGGCACAGAGTGTCAAAGTGACTTGTTCAAGGTCATGCAGCAGGCCAGTGGCAGAGCTGGGAATAGAACCCAGGAGTCCCGATTCCTTGCTCAGAAAGTTTTGCTGATTTTGGAACTGATGTCAACATTGAAATATGAGTCAGAGGAGAGAAGGGGAAAAAAGCAGATGTAGAAATGGTGAATCATTCTCTCAACAGTTTTTAGGCCTGATCCTACTGATCTCCAGTGTGAGTGTGTGGGGGAATCCTGAGAGCATTTGTCATTGGGTGATTTGGTGGGTGGGTTGGTGGCAGGCAGGGAAGCCAAACTGCTGCAGGATTATAGAGGATATTTCTATCCCACTGACTGCCCAATGTTTCCTTTCTGAGTTATTGAGATGAACTGCAGTCCACAATGCCAGTCATTGAACTGCTTTGTGTGGGAAGTTGAAGGTAAATAAAATCAAGGATATAAAAAGATTGGCAATTATCACTAATTAGAGGCCTCAAATATAGCTCAATGGGTATTTGAATCCCCAACAGGGAAGGGTTATTTGGCATGATAGGACTTAGTAGATATAGTAACGAACTGAATTGGGACCTACAGCAATAGCTGGCAAGCTTGTTCTCTTTACAGCATGCTAAGACAGGGCCCAATCCTGTTCCCAGTGGAGTTTTGCTATTGCCAGCCATTAGATAGCTCTGTAGTCCTCCCTGTATATGCTAGCCAAATCCATGAAGGAAGCTCTTTCATTCGTTCCCACTTAGGGAAAAGAGATCCCACCCCAGCAGCAGAAAAACAGCCAGCCAGGAATCCATGTCAGGGCTAGTAAAGAAATGTGAGGAGGCTCCCAAGGGGACATGTGCTGTGCAGAATCCATTGGGAAGTTCAAATGGGTTAATGTCTGTAACATTGCTTTTCAGTTCTGCAGAGGCGTACGTGTGAACATTACAATAATGATTAGCACTGCTGCCCATTGCTTTTAACTTTCTCAAGACAAGGCAGTGTCAGAATTATCCTGACCTTTAGTTCCAAGCAGTACTTCAATTATTTTCCCTTTGCTGATCTGTCTTTGCACAGCTGGGAGCTATTGCACAGCAAGTATTTAAGGCAGCACAAAGTAGGCAGGCAACAAGTGAGAAATCTTTCCGAGAGCTTTCAGCCAAACTTTTTTGAGGAGCCTGACACCCATTTAGATTCAAACTTGCAATCACCTTTGGAAATGCTCAAGCCATGATTTTGCATTTTCTCCAAGAGGTGCAAGTGGCTGTCACTCACTAACTGTCCTCAGTGAGAAGTTAGCCAGAGTTAAACAGTTGTCTTAAATAGCAATTGAGGAATAAAGAGGATATCACCAACAATACACGAAGCTTGTCTGTCTGTCCCTCTAAACACTGCCCCCTGCTGGGTGGAATGTCCTTCTCAGGACCGAGCTAGCCCATGAACATGGTGTTCTCTGCTGCCCACAGAGGACAAGACATGTGGAAGGGGAGGGAGGGGGACATGGAATGGATGAAGAGAAAAGCAGAGAGAGGTGGGAATGAAGAGGATAAAGAGAGATGAAGGTGAAATGTTGATGAAAGGATAGAAGGAGAACAAGTTGAGAAATGAAGGGGAGACAGAGAGATGCAAAGGTGAGTGTGAAGAGAAGAAGAGAGTGTGGGGAGAAGTATCCTTGATGTCACATTCCTACCAATCCATAAATATATCATGGATATCTGATGGTCCTTGGTTAAAAAACAGTCCATAAATTATAACCCATTAGTGCTGCTTTGTTTTGCTAGTGCATAGATTCTAAGGCTAGAAGGGACTATTACGATTGTCTAGTCTGACCTCCTACACAACACAGGCCCTTGGATTTCACACAGTGATTCCTATGGTAGAGGGAATCACTTGCCCATTTTGCATAAGTGATTAATACTATTGAGCCCAAATTGAATTATCCATAAAAGACCTGTAATGTCCCTAAAACTTGCTGACTGATCATGCAAAATCGGTGGTGGAAACACGGTGGACTGATAGCTATTGCTCATCTTGTTGCTTTATGTGAATACGTGTATTGGCATCACTATATAAAGACAAAGCAGACACTGTGTGCACACCCATGTATATCAGCTTTCTCTTGGTCCTTCTGTTTTCCTAGGAAACCAAGATGGATTACAGTTCCTTCAGTGGAGCCCCAAGGTTCCTGACTCGGCCTAAGGCCTTCATGGTGTCGGTGGGGAAGGATGTCACCCTGAGCTGCCAGATTGTGGGAAACCCCGTCCCGCTCGTGAGCTGGGAAAAGGATAAGCTTCCGATCCAGTCGGGGGGAAGGTTTAAAATGGTGGAAGATGGTGATCTGTACCGGCTAACAATTTATGACCTGAGCTTAGAGGACAGTGGTCAGTATATCTGCAGGGCCAAGAACACCATTGGGGAAGCTTTTACTGCTGTCAGTATCAAAGTTGGGGAGGAGATGACGGTGACGGAATCGGCCCCTTACTTCATCCAGAAACCATCCTCCATCAGAGTGACCCTGGGAGACGACGTTACGTTCAAATGTAAAGTCCAGGGCAGCACGCCCCTCTCTGTGAACTGGGAGAAAGATGGGAAGCACGTGAGGGGCTGGTCCGACTCCAGCCGCTTCCAGATTGAGTCCCTCGGGGAGTCAAATGCTCTCAAGATCCAGTGCGCTCGGTTGGGGGACAGTGGGACATATGTGTGTCGGGCGGAGAACCCCATTGGCTCTGCCAGTGCTACCGCCACCTTGGTGGTGGACACGCATGGTCCTTACAGTCCGAGCAGCAGCCATCTAGACACAGGCTATGGCAAGACTGCCTCCTTGCTGTCTCATTTGCAAAAGAGGCGGGAGGAGATCAGGAAGATGGACACGTCCATGCTTGCAGCCGCTGATCCCATGGCTGCCCCAATGTACTCCGTCCCAGAGGGGCTGTCTGGTATTGGTCTCAGCCTTTCTCTGGATTACGAGAGGGCTGCCAGTCTCACCACCAAATCAGCCCGCAACGCCACCTTCGGGGTGCTGACGCGTACCTTCAACGTGACGGAGGGGAAGCACGCCAAGCTGAGCTGCTATGTGACAGGAGAGCCAAAGCCGGAGATTGTGTGGAAGAAGGATGGCGAGGTGATTACAGAGGGGCGCCGGCACGTTGTGTATGAGGATGAACAGGAGAACTTTGTGCTGAAGATCCTTTTCTGCAAGCAGGTCGATAACGGGCTCTACACCTGCACAGCCTCCAACCTGGCAGGGCAGACCTACAGCTCCGTGCTGGTCACTGTCAGAGGTGAGCGGTTATGTTTACTTATCCATTGGGGCCTGTTCGTACTCCCTTTTGTCATCAGTGGGGATGTGAACCAGTGGGGATGTGGTTCAGTGACAGGAGAACTAGTAATGTCTCTTGTTTTTACTCCCTTTGGTTTATCCAAGTCTCTCACACAACTGTTTCCAAATGGCTATAGAGGGAATTCCTTCCATCCAAGTCTTCCCCTCAGTCTACCCTGGACTCCCTAAAGCTCTGGCTCCTTCCTAGGTCTCTCTTCTCAATGGAGCCATCTCTCACCATTACCTACTATTCCTGCCCCTTTTCCCAGCATGCTTTGCTGCAGGGCCTACAATTCCCATGTGCCTCTGGAACTACCATCCCCAGAATGCATTAGTTCTGGGCAGAAACCTGGAACAGGGCAGAGCTGGACCTGGGAACTCCCTTAAAAGGCCAGCAAACCTTGCTGACAGTCTTTCCATTTACTTCAGTGGAAATGGAATGAGATTCTGGTAGAAGAGTGTGACAAATACTAAATGAACTCCTCCGTAAAGAAAGTTTTCTTACTCAGTTTTGAATCTTTAAACAGTTCTCTCATCATCCAAAATTTCGGAGTAACCCATTTGCACTCTAAAATGTCCCTGTGAAAAATGAATTTACGTGTGAGAATTTTCCTTGGTATTTTTTTTTTTAATGCAAAAATTATGATTTCCTGGAAAATGATTTCTGGCTGGAAAAGTGGCCTGGAACAATAGAACATTAAATTCTACATGAGAGTTTTTCGGCACATTCCCTATTATCTGTAATACTGGACAGCATTCTAACACAAGTGCATTTTGCTAATCAGCGTTTGAAAAGATACAGCAGCATCGCCAACCCTCAGCATTCAAAAATCACGAGATTTAAAAAAAAAGAAAAAAAAAGTTGGTTTCTTATTATTTGCCCACTGTGGGTTGTGGGTTTTTTTTTAAGTCTTTATGGTTCATGTTTTCAAAGCTTTTCTTTGCCGCCATGAAGGCTAGAAACTTACTTTAAAAAAACAAACAAACCTGTAAGCGGAGAGTCTAATATAATCACATGACTGCAGGAGCTGGGGCTTTCAGGAAAGCACCAAATAGAGCAAGGCACACAATAAAACCACAAGAATTAGCAACAAAATACATTTGCTGGAATTAAGACTGAATAAGGTTTTTGTGTTCTCTACCCAGTGTCCTTTAATAGCCTCAATTTAGTTTTTTTAGCCTCCAGTTTGTCCCCAGCATTTAGTGCCCCCTTCACCCACTTAGCTTATGGCCTGGGGTCACAGCCACTCTCTTTCCTGTCAGGGAAAATCCAGGGGGCTCATCTCCAGAGTCCATCGCTGCTGCTCCATATGGGGCCTACTCCTGCTCCCATGGAGGTCCATGGCAAGCCTCCCATTCACTGTGATGGGGGGAGGCCCCGGGAGCTCAGTCCTATGAGGCGCTAAGCGATGTCCGGAAGGCACAGAACGTCCTTGGCTCCCGTTGATTTCAGTGAGGGCACTTGGCCTCTCCCAGGAGGTGGCCAGCACCTCACAGGATGGGACTCAGGACCTGACCATTGTGCAGGGGCTCAATTTGGAGGTGCAAGGCAGTCCCTGCCTTGGGTATCCATCCCACAAGGCCAAGCATAATGCCAACGCACCTGAATGCAGGGATGGCCCCTCCTGGAACATCAAGCTGCCGGCCAAATTCCAGCCCACACAACAGCAGCCTGCTGTTTACGTGCGCAGCATGCTGTTCGCCCTGTCTTCCACACAGGGCATGCTGGGAAATGCCTCCTCCTGCAAGGGGCTTGGCTGGAGGCCAGTCCGCTCACCTGTGTCAGACACTGGAACAGGCAGTCATGGAAGCTTGCTTCAATCCACTAGCTGTCTGACGGCCAGCCTCTGTCGCGTTCTGTGTCAACAGATGTCCTCACAAATGGTAGGGCCGCATCACTGGGTCCCTTGCAGGCAGGTTCATCAGAGGGGACAAGGCCTGAATAGGTCCAGAGACCCATTTTGCTCTTCCACCCCTAGAACTAGCCTCTCCCAGTTAGAGGCATAGCATTGGGGCAGCTTGCCCTGCTCCTGCCCGTGTTGTACCCGTTATGTGGGCTACACAGGCTACCGCTGTCTCCTGGGATGTCAAACTGTTACCAGCACTCAATTCACTGAAAAATGAATGCAAATGTTCTATTGGATGAGTTGCCCATGTGGAGGAAAGCAGGAGACAGGCCTCAAAATATCAAACTCTTTATAAACCTGGAAGGAAATATGCCTTTCTGATTTTATTGCAAATTCACCTGAACCAGGAGCCCCAGGTCACGCAGACAGAGATCCTACACCTTTCCCTTAGCAAATGGATAGTTGTTTTTATGCAATTTTGCAAATTTTATTGCCCCCCCCCTTTTTTTTCTCTTTTCTTTTGTGCAATGTTGATGAAATCTTCCCCTGGCACTTTTTTTTACACTAAAGTGTACCAGAAATGCAAATCTCTCGCATTTTTGAAGCAAGCCAAAAATAGGCTAATTATCACTTTAAAAACAAAACAAAAAAAAAAAAAAGGAAGAAAAGAAACCGGTTAGGCAGGTCAGCCCCCTTTTCTGTCTGTGTCTTGTGTCTGTGGTGTGGGAGCGGGGGTGGGGGGTGGCGGGGGTGGGTGGGTTGCGGGGGGAGAACAGGGAACCAACCTGTCCAAGTAGTTTTGCACTTTTCCTGTCTGTATATTTAAACTGTTTAGTGTTTAGGACTTTACTTAATCCCTTAAGACCTCATTCCCGTGATATAAGCCAAACAGGTTCTGCCTGAGCGGATCATTTTGAAGGTTCTCAACCTTATTATTTAGAGTTGGTTGGAAAATTTTAAAAAATTCAAAATTTTTGACCAACAGCCCCCTCCTCAAAGAACAATTCTTACATAATATAGTGGGGTTCCCCCTGTTATTCAGCCATCGCTGCCCTCTATATTAAGTTAAAATGTAACTGTAATATAACTGGCCACGTATTTGGAATCTGTTGGGCATTTAAACAGAGGATAAGGGATGGAGCATGACATGTTGGAAGTACTGCATGTTGTTTCATACAGCTGCCCTGCCTCACAAACCCTGCTAATAGACTTGACACCCACTGGTGCCCCTCTTTGAGGACTTTAGCAGCTATGTGGATTACTGTTGACCATTCGTATCTGAGGATGAGGAAATTTTGGGTACAGAGCTAGAGGTAACAAATACTGCCCTCTAGGGGCTGATCCAAAGCCCATTGAATTCAGTGGAAAGACTCCCAGTGACTTCAATGGGTTTTGGATCAGACCCTATGTCCATTGCCCATATAACTCATCCTACATGATTTTAGATTGAAGGAAAGAATGTGATCCAGTAGATTTTTTTAAAAAAGAAAACATCTGCAGGTTGTGTTATCATTTATTATTAGACATAATAAAGGAAATAAAAGCTACAGGGTGTAAACACCAACAAGGGTTAGACTAGATGACCCTTCTAACCTTCTGTCCCTTCTAACCCTGTGGTTTTATGATTCCATGATGCGTTCTCTGGTGGATGGGGAAAGACTTAGATGTGCTGGAAAACATCTAGAAATAGCATTATTGAAAAGGGTTTTAGAATGGTGTCCATCTCATACATTCCTTTTGGAAGCTCTAGCATTAGTCCCTGTGACATGGAGAGTATGCAACTGCCAAATCCCTGATCATAGCCCCAGTGGAAAATATTAGTTATCAGTGTTCACTGTCAAGCAACACAAGTGAGTCAGAGAGCTAAAGTGGAAATGTTTATGGTTTGTTTCTTTGTTCTGGTTACTCTGTTCAGGCTTTCTGCTCTACGATGGAATGAATGGAAAATGTGTGTGTGACTGTTATAATTAAGTTTTGGATAGTGACTCCTTGCACCACCAGGAGGCCCTCCAAAAACACATCCCCAAAAGATGTAACAAAGAAGTGAACCTTTATATTATTTATATAATCGTCTCTGTGCCACACCCTTGCATTTGGGCAGCACATCTTCATTGAACAAGCAGGCCTTATTTTGATAAGGCAGGAAGCAGCAATAATATTCTCCAAGTGTCCACCTTTCGGCCAACGAGACCCTGCAAATACGTCTATGTACGCTGATACGGGCGTATTTATGGGGCCCGTCAATGTTATGTCTCAGGCATGCGTACTATTGATTATTCATATCTAGAAAGATGTCTCCATTGAGTATTTTCCTAAATGGCAGATTTTTTTTTCCAATCTCATATTTTATAAGTATTATTTTGTCTTTCTTTGGGAGATTTATAATTGAATTCAACAGTGTCTATAATGGCTCTCTCTGCTTTGGCTATAAACAGGCAGGTAAATGTTAAACAATGTAAAAGAATCTATAAGAATACAGCAGTCATTTTTCTCAGAATTTTGTACTAGAGCTGATGAAAAATCAGAATTTTCATTCCGCAGGAAATTCTGATATTGTGACATGTGTTTTATCCCCTATTGAGATGAAACATAGAAACAATTAATTTTTTTGTGGAATGAAAAATTCTGAAAATGTTTTAATTGGAACTTTCAAAACATGTCCTTTCGATTCAGTTGGACATTACATTGCATCCACCTGAGCTGCTGCGGTGCTTCATGGAAACTGTAGTACAGGTGCCTTGTGCCTCCATTCTCCTATATGGGCTGAGCCACCCAACTGGACTACATCTCCCATGATGCACTGCAGTCATTGTGACTCAGACAGAAGGAAGCCCTCCATGCATCATGGGAGACGTAGTCCAACTGGAGACCACAGCCCATGGGGAGAATGGCAGAATGAAGCAATGGAACTTCAACTCCCACGTGGCACTGCAGCGGCTCAGGTGGATGAAGATTAATGTCAAACGGAGCCAAAACAAAAGGTTTTGATTTTGTTGAACAAACTGACCTGTTTCGATTCTGGTCAACTTGACATGAATAGTTTAGCTTTTCCTAATGGGAAATTGAAAAATTTCAGCAAAACCAACATTTTCCTATGGAAAATGTAGATGTTGCA